GGGGTCACATGAGGTGAGGCGGGACTGTACCCTGAATCACAGGCCAGGGTGGTGGCATGTTCCATAGAGCCTCTCACTTAAAATTTGTCTAAAATCTAAAGCAAATCCACTGTTGCCAAGTCAATTCCCACTCACAGGACAGAGAAGAAGTACACGATAGGGTTTCCAAGGCTATAAACCTCGACAGGAGCTGCTGGAAGCTGGAAGCTGCTGGTGGGTTCGAACCACTAATCTTTTGGTTAGAAGCCTGATGCTTAACTCATTGCACCACCCACACCACCAGGGCTCTAAAATCAAACCAACCGTCACAACTCAGCTCCCTTCAAGGAGTACACGTATCTGCTTTCTTATAGGTATATATATTTTAAAAAGCACTGTAGATTTCTCTTCACTTTGGGATAATAGTCTTGTGATTCTGTATGAAGAAACAGGAGTGTACCATGTAATCTCCCAGGGTCTGTTCCAGTTCTAGGACTGGGGAACATGACCCAGAAATAAACCCAGAACACACAAGAACTAATTTGGCCTACAGGCAGAATGGACAGCTACTTCCTCCGTCACCTACTCTTCCTGAGATTTCTATAGAAACTTCTCTTCCCCCAGTCTGCAAGTCTAGCTTTAGAGTCTTGAAGAGTGTATTAGTTAAGATTAGGTTTGACTGTTGATCATACCAAAATAGAAAAACAAAACAAAACAAACTCATTGCTATCGAGTCGATTCTGACTCACAGCAACCTTACAGGAAAAAGTAGAACTACCTTGTTGGGTCTCTAAGGCCATGATTTTTATGGAAGCAGGCTGTCACATGTTTCTCTAGGAGAGTGGCTGGTGGGTTTTAATGACCAATCTTTTGGTTAGCAGCCAGCTCTTGGCTACTGTATTACCATGGCTCTTTCCTGTTGTTGACAGTAAAGCAACAAGCCATTGGATTAACTAGGAAGGGAATTTCTCCTCCTCTCTCATATTAATATCTAGGTATAGGAAGTGTGGTGTGGTGGCTCTGCTCCATGGAGTCCTCAGAGAACCTTAGCTCCGTCCATCATGGATTCCACCAAGTTTGGCTTCCACACCTGAGATCAATTCATGGTCTGAGGTGGAACTTCAGTGGTCACATGGGTTTTCTAGGCAGTAGAGAATGGGGATGAGGAAGCTGCCCCTTCAAAGAAATTCCCTAGGGCTACCACATGACACTTTCACTTTTGTTCCACAGACCAGAATATTACCATGTGGCTATATCTAGCCACAAGAGAGGTTTGAAAATGTTGTCTTTATTCTAGGTAGCCATGTGCTGAGATAAAAATTCAACTGCGATACAATGAAATGCAGATGGGTCTCTTGTGATACAATAGTGAATAATTGTTATCAGGACTGATTGTGAGGGTCAGAAATGTAAAGGTAGATGTTTTATAGCAAGGAGGGGAGTGATTAACTTTTCAGTCTAGGAGCAGAGGCCCCTAGGACCATCAAGGGAGAAGAGCAGAGAGCAGGACCCTACCCAGAGAAGCAGTGATGCCTGAAATGGAGCCAGAGATGATGACGTGGAGTGATGGAGCAGCTGGAGCCTTTAGATCCAGAGAGGGAGAGCGACTGTGTGCTGAAGACCAGGGGGGTACGGGGGAAGGATTGCATGGAGGGGATTGTAACCATGGCAATGAGATGATATACGATAGAATTAATGTAAAACTAATGTTCTCCAACACTCGCGGAAGTAGCAGTCAAGAGATCAGACGACGTATTGCACTGGGCAAATCTGCTGCACAGGAACTTTTTAAAGTGTTGAAGAGCAGAGATGTCAGCTTGAGGACTAGGGTGCGCCTGACCCAGGCCATTGTGTTTTCAATAGCCTCATATGGATGCGAAAGCTGGACAGTGAATAAGGAGGATCGTAGAAGAATTGATGCCTTTGAGTTGTGGTGTTGGAGGAGAATACTGAGGGTGCCATGGACTGCCAAAAGAACCAATAGATCTGTTTTGGAAGAAGTGCAGCCAGAGTGCTCCTTGGAGGCCAGGATGGCTAAGCTTCGTCTCTCCTACTTTGGACATATTGTCCAGAGGAAACAGTCGCTGGAGAAGGATGTCATGCTGGGTAGGGTGGAGGGTCAGAGAAAAAGAGGAAGACCCCCAGTGAGATGGATCAGCCAGGTGGCATCATTGATGGACTCAAGTGTGGCAGTGGTAGTGAGGTTGGCCCAGGATCGAACATTGTTTTGTTCTGCTGTGCATGGGGTCGCTATGAGTCGGTTCTGACTCGATGGCACCTGACAACAACAACACTGTTCTCCCATGTAAACTATCACATAATTCACAATAAAACAGTTAAGAAAAAAAAAATTCAATTGCTGTAGGAAAAGAGGAAAACAAATATTGAGGAACAACCAGCAGTTTCTATCAAAAGAACTTTCATTTTGTTTTTTTAAATTGTGATTTAGGTGAAAGATTACAAGTTGTTTTTCCATTCAATAATTAATGTCACAAAACAAAATGTGCATGAACTATACAACTTTCAGAGTTCCAGGATCTCTACTGGAATATGATTAACCCAGAGGTGGGTTTTCCACCCTAAGCCAGTGCCACTCAGTGCTTTAGTGGGGGTTAGCGCTACTATGGGAGTCCTGCTGTGAACCCACCCCCTGCTCCTTGGAAATCCTATCCAGAGTGGCTATGAGTCAGAACCAACTCAATGGCACTCAACAACAACAATGGCAGGGATACTATGAAAAGGCAGGCCTTTTGTGGATGAGGGATAAACCCAGAGATAGTGAGAGCAAGCAAGAAGGGCTTCCCAGAGGACAGGGGCAGGACTGTAGATAAGCATCATCTTCTCCACAGTTTTTTTAAAATACACAACCACATCCCTCTCAGCATCAAGAAAGATGACTGTGGAAACAAGTGTAAAACGAGAATTCTGTGCTAGGCCTTGCAGGGCTGATTTCTGTTGTAGTTCATGATGTAGACAGAATCAGCGCAGACCAAACACCTATTAGGAGCCAAGTATGGAGTTAGAGATTTTATATACCGTCTGTCATTTCATCTTTTGCAGCAACTAATTATTTCCACTATCATTTTTTAGACGTGAAAACAGACTGTTGTGTTAGGTGTCATCAGGTCAATTTTCTATTCATAGTGACTCCATGTGACAGAGCAGAACTGTCCCATAGGGTTTCCTAAGCTGTAATCTTTATGGGAACAGATTGCACATCTCTCTCCCACCAAGTGGGTGGGTGGGTTGGCTTCACATTTGCAGCCGAGCATGTAAATGTCTGAATCCTATAGCTAAAGATTGTTGTTGTTAACTGCCGTTAAATAAATTCTAGCTAACAAGTTGTTGTTGTTGTTAAGTGCCGTTGAGTCTGTTCCAACTCATTAGTGACCCTGTACAGGGTTTCCAAGGAGTAACTGGTGAGCTTGAACTGCCGACCTTGCAGTTCAAACTGACCTTGCAGTCTAGTGCTTATCCTACAGCACCATACCAGGACTCCAGCTAATAGATTATTGTTGGTATTTTTAAGTGCCGGAGAGTTGATTCTGACTCATAGCAACCCTGTATAGGGTTTCCAAAGAGTGGATGGTGAGTTTGAACCTCTGACACTGAGGTTCAAATGACCTTGCGATCTAGTGCATTATACCACAGTGCCACATCAGGACTACAGCTAATAGATGTTTTTTGATGTACACAGAAACACTCAGGATTATATAATAATTTAAACAACCTAAGGGCAAATTCTCTAAACCTGCCTCCTGGCTGCCAGCACTCAGCTTTTCTCTTTCCCTGAGTCTAGAGTCCGCAGCTGCCCTATCACCCTATGCCATCACTTCTGCCTCCATCTCTGGTGTCACTGTTTTTCTGGATAAGATCCCACATTCCACTCATGCATAGATAGTAGGTTTTAATCTGCTGATCTCACTCAGTGCAGAACAAAACTAGAGGTTCAAGTTTTTGGTTGTTTTTGGTGCCATCAAGTTGGTACAAACTCATAGTGACCATATACACAACTATGCACAACAGAACATAACACTGTCTGGGCCTATGCCAACCTCACAATTGTTGCTACATTTGTGCCCATCGCTGCTGCCACGGTGCCAATCCATCTCGTTGGGGGCCTTCCTCTTTTTCTTTGACCCTACATTTACCAAACATGATATCATTTTCCAGGGACTTGTCCCTCCTGACAATATGTCCAAAGTATGAAAGATGAAGTCTGGCCATCCTGGTTTCTGGGGAGCATTCTCTCTGTACTTATTCCAACACAGATTGGTTTGTTCTTTTGGTATTCTACGGTACTTTTAATATTCTCCTCCAACACCATGGCTCAAATGCATCAATTCTTCTATGGTCTTTCTTATTCCTAAACATATAGGTTCTTTAAAAATATGTATATGTACTTTTTGTATAGTGAATCATGGATAAAACAGGAAAGCAGGTGACTTCTATTTGAAAGCAGTGGATATTTTTGTCAAACAAAGACTTATTTACTAAAAACAATGATTCTCTAATTCAATTTAGAAATCCAAATTTTCATATGCCAGATTAAAATGGATCAAGACACTCTCCTATTTGTTCATCTTAATACGCTTTAGATCATAAGGTTGAATTGTGATGACCCAAGTATGGTGTGGTACTGTAGGGTAAGCACTGGACTGACTGTTAACTGCAAACCCACCAGTTGCTCCTTGGTGGTGGTGGTGATGTGCCGTGGAGTCGGTTCTGACTCATAGCGATGCTGTGTAGGGTTTCCAAGGCTGTAAATATTTACGGGAGCAAAAAGCCTCATCGTTCTCCCATGGAATGACTGGTAGTTTTGAACTGCTGACCGTGAGATTTGCAGCTCAACTCATAACCACTATGCTACCAGAGCTCCCTGGGAACCCTATACACAGTCGCTATTAGTTAGAATCAACACCATGACACTTAACAGCTATGATTTTTGTTAATATTATTGCAAATATGTATATAATCCTATTAATGCTGTTTTCTTTTTGGTTTTGTTTTTTTTTTGATAGAATGAAAATATGAAGGAAGATGCCCTTTCAGTGGAACAAAATGAGAATGACTCAGTACAAATAAGTCTCAGTCAACATGGGCCTTTCAAGCAGAAAAAAGAGACAGGGTAAAATTAAATTCGTTTTTTGGTTATTCAAGCAAATGAGTTAAAACACTGTGGAGAAATTGGGTGACTGATAAATAAACAGCTTACATGGTATCTCAGAAGCATTTGAAGTTAGGAGAGAAGCAAGACTGTTAAAGCAAAGCAGACAACTGAATTAATGTTTCACCCTACAACTGGGTTTTTAATGAGAATGATTCCTAAGAGAAATTTCTGTCTTGATTTTCTTTGTATATTTATACATATATAAAAATATTAAATGTATATTATTACATATATATAGTGAGCCCTGGTGTGGTACTGTAGGATAATCATGGAACTGCTAACTGCAAGGGGGCAGTTCAAACCAACTAGCCTCTCTCAAAAGCCCTGTACAGGGTTGCTGTGAGTTAGAACCAACTCAACAGCACACAACATCAATGTTCATATGCAGCCATTGTTTTCCCTCCAGTGCATTTTTAAAGGATAGCCGTTGGGAAACTCCCTAAGGTAAATAAAATTACTTTTCAATTAGGCATATATAAAATTTCCAAGCCACTTTGCAATGAAAGGCATTCATTATATTTCTCCTGCCTGCTAAAGGTACAATTATGGTCTGACCCTACAATTGCTGGGCTTAGATGATGGGACTGAGTCCAGTGATGGGAATCCCATCCTGATGAGAGGAGCCTACCTGTCTTTTCTGTATCTGCGCCACCTACGAATGAGGGAGCTGCAGGTATGCGTGTGGCCCCACGTGCTGACTTCACCTATCTGCTGTGGTCTAGAAAGAGGATTTTCCCATCAGTCCATTAACAACACAGTTTCACACTTTTGCATTTGTCCTTATTTTTACGTACACACAGCGCCTGCCTGGGGTGGTGTGTTCCTTTCTTAGTAGCAGAGTTTCTACACCACCCTTGCTCCCCTCAATCAAGTTTTACTCCATGGGAATGGGCTAATCAAAGGTCAGGGTCCTGATCCTGGTCTTCCTTTGTTTCAGCGCACCTGCTTAGGAATTCTGAACTATTTCAGATCAGTTGAGCGAAGCTTGACAATCAACGCTTCAGGCCTTACCTTGGTTGCAGGGAACCTGGTCCCAACCGTAGAAGATCCCTCCTGGGTAAACATTGCAAAGGGAGGCTTGGGCATCTTGCAAGGCCTAGGAGCTCACCACTATATTCACGGTACACCTGCTGAGCACAAGGTGAGGTATTCCAATAGGTATTTTCTCCCTTGATATCTTGTCTCTTAAGATACCTTCTTAACACCTGGAATCAATTATACAATAGAATAGCCAGGGCTTCCTACCTAAGCTGTTCATTCTGGTTCAACCCTCTGCTGAGAATTTGCATTTCCACCCCAGATATCCTGAATTAGAATCTAAATTTTAATAAGATCACCTGGGGATCTCTAAGAACTACCTAGGAAAGGATCAAAGAATCACCTGGGGATCTTTGTTAAAATGTAGATACTGATTCAGTATATCTGAAGTGGCAATGCAAATTCTTAGCAAGGGATCAAACCAGAATGAGCCAGTTCAAAGCCCTGTGAGTAGCTGATGGTGTTTCTTAGGAAGATGACTTTTCAACAACAGTAAAATGCAGAGAACAACTCAAAAACAACTTTATAGGCATAGTAGGAAGGAAATGGTTTGTTGATTTTACAGTGAATTGAGCGTGAAGGGACCTTTCTGTTACCCTGGCCTGAGAACTACAGTCTATACAGAGAAACTTACAAGAACCTCTTTGGTATTGCTAGAAATACCTTTTTGCTATTTCCTGTTTTCCAAGTCCCGAATGAGAGCATAGATTTTAAAACACAGGTAGAAGAGCTAAACAATAATATATATTTTATTTCTCAAAAACATTGTTTGCACATTGGTGCTTTTGATGTCTCATGAATATGTTTTTCTCTAAAGTATATAAAATTTGAGTCCTAACTTAAAACAAAAGACAAGAAAAAGTTTGTATTATATCACTTTCTTAAGAATAAAATTAAAAATGCCTACATATTCTTGGAATATTATAAACAAAAAAAATTCTTATAATATTTTAATCTCAATCTGGTGGTGGTTGTATACTGTGGGGTTGGTTCCAGCTCATAGTGACCCTGTATAGGGCTTCCTGAATGCCTCATCTTTCTCTGTCAGAGTGACTTTTAGAGGTGAAGTGCTGGCCTTCTGATTAGCAGCCCAGCTTATAGGTTACCAGGGCTCCTGACTCGCATTTATAGGACGTTTATTCCTGAAGATAGGATTCAGATACTGGATTTATGAATGTGAGAAATAAAACTTACCTCTCAAGTAAGTCATATTCTTAGCTGGTGTGATCCCTGGCATGCTTACCACATCTCTAAGGATATGACATCATGCTATCGGCTGATCACTCACACGCACACCAAGGCTATAGACCAGTGTGATCTGATAGAAATATAATGCAAGCCATTTTGTTGTTGTTGTCATTATTAGGTGCAGTCAAGTTGATACCAACTCATAGAAACCTTATCTCAACAGAACAAAACATTGCCCAGTCCTGTGCCAACCTCACCATCCTTGCTAAGCTTGAGTCCATTGCTGCTGCCACTGTGCCAATCCATCTCATTGGGGAACTTCATATTTTTCACTGACCCTCCACTTTACCAAGCATTATGTCCTTCTCCAGGTACTGGTCCCTCCTGATAATATGTTCGAAGTATGAGAGACGAAGTCTGGACATTCTGGCTGTACTTCTGCCAACACAGATCTGTTTGTTCTTTTAACAGTCCATGGTACTTTTAATAATCTCCTCCAATACCATAACTCAAATGCATCATTTCTCCTGTGGTCTTCCTTATTCATTGTCCACCTTTCACATGCATATGAGGCTATTGAAAATACCATGGCCAGGCACACCTTAGTCCTCAAACTGACTTCTTGATTATTGAACACTTTAAAGAGGTCTTGTGCTGCAGATTTGCCTAATGCAATATGTTATTTGATTTTTT